TCAGTTTCACTAAAACAATAAACGTTTAAAGTCAAAGCATTCTACTTTCAACGAGGTTGTAGAAAACTGTCAACGTTACAGTGTACCTCTTCCACACACTCTAAACTTCAATTTAGTTGCCAAGAAACTAAATTCACTAACGATTCGACTCGAACATTAACTCATTAGTCATCGCCTAGTCATTCACAGATGCTACGAGCCTGGGATTAAAAATTAAATGCCCTAAAGGGCGAGCGAAACTCTGATGGCGGTACTGTGAATCTCACTTATCTCGGTCAGATGCTGCTGCATCCGAATCTGGAAAAGGCTCTTCTAAACATCGCGAAACGAAAGAACGGAAAGAGAAAAGACAGAAAGTAACGCCACAGTATAATCTACCGCTGGTCGGCAGTTCACTCAGCATATTCAGAATTGTGACTGTGTATGACACGTAAATGCAAAAAATTGAAAGAACATATGATAAGGTTAGACCTGCGCCTTACACTTCCTGTAACAATCCTAAGTTCGTCAGCTCGACGTTTTGCCGGCTTTTTTCCTTTAAAGCACCTTATAATATTTGCGCCATTTAGCCCTTGGCCCGACAAGCGCATAGGTTTGTCAAAGCAGGCACGACATACCACTACCAATGTTAAGCCAACGATGTGACCCGGAAACATGCATCATCTGGCTAGCACAGAAGTACAGTTATGATAATAACAGTGTTGATGCTGAAGCTGATGATAACGATGATGTTGTTGACGAAGATTATCATGTTACTGGCGATTATGCTGCTGCTGCTGTTGATGATGATGATACTTCTAATAACTCATCAAAGAACATGACGAGCTTCCTATCAGATCACATAAAACAGTTTTAAGGAACAGAAGAAATTAGAAGAAATCCGAGAAAGAGACAAATCGGGGAGGCCTGTAAATCTCTGAAGAATCAACGCAACCCGTGATACAAAATGACTGCAACCTTTATTTACAAAAGTTGCATTTCGAACGTTTCAGCCCAAATTTGCTCAATGTTATTTCAGAGGGTAAACATCGATGAAAAGGACGACTTTCGATCCAGAAACAATTCCCTAGCATATCTCCGTCGCTGCTTTGAGAGTTCAGCCGAAGAGCAAGCAACGGCATCGCCATCGGTAGGTTTTCACGTGCCGAAGCGACTACCGAGCAAGAGGGACCATCGGCGCCGCGAGACAGAACATTAACCAAGGATCCGACGAGAAAATGAATTAACAGCTGTTTGATTTTCACATGATCGATTGTGTATCGTTACTCGATCATCAAACACTGGCTCATGAAAAACGACGACTGCGTGACAAGCGTCAAAAACTCAAACCGTCATCTGCCATTAAAATCCGGTTTGCAATCCACTTATTCGACCATGATTCACAGCTAAGCATTGGGCGCAGCAAACGGTTAGAACGGACTTTCAGCGATGTAAAAAACTTACGTCTAAAACAAAAGACGTGGATATCTAATTTGTTGAAGACTAACACAAAATCGGCGACAAACTTTCAAACGAACAAAGTTTGACTTCGCGTCACTCACTGCTTTAGATTTCGTAGGGAAGAAATGAGTTTTCCAAGATGAACTCTGTTCATTTTCCAAGGTAACGAAGCCGAAAAATGAATATGACTAATTTTGGAAAGCCTCTACGTACTTTAAAAGCTGGATTTTAATATAATTTCACGTTGCACGTGTTATGCCCCGCCATTGTTCCCAAAGGCTCATGGATATGTAAAAGACGACGATTCTGTGAAACGAGTTTGTCGCTGAGCATAGACCATATTTTAAGACTAGGAGGCCAGAAAGAAATAAGAATAGGTGTTCGTGTAATGACTCTAGATTTCCTAACTTTTAAACGCAGAGTACGTTAAAATGAAGATCATCACCGGTTAACACAGCATTGTCTTCAACCATTCCTGGTGAAGCATAGGAAGTGATTTGAACATGGTACGTCTCCACAACATTTCAGCATTTACAGAGCAGAGATGCAACTCGCATCGATTAACTAACCATAGAAACGCCTTTCGCGTTACGAGTACGGCTGTGTTCAAAAGCCCCTGTATTACAGTTATAGTTCCGCATCTACATCAAAAATGTGGGTTAGTTGCGTGGGATTGTGTCAATAAACGTATAACTCCATCAAGTCGGGTCTCGCAACGTTACGATAAAGCCTCTTTGCTCCTCGGTGGCCATGGGTTCGTTTATGTAAGTGAGCAATGGTTCGTTGGTACTCTGGTAACTACAGTGCTTAGATGCATCATTTTGCACCGCTGCCTGGCAGAACAGTATCTCAATCCGA